TGCACGGGTGGGGACCAGGGCAGAGATCGATAACGGTGCACGGGGACGGTGCACGGGTGCACGCGGGGCAGAGAGCGATAACGGCGCACGGGGACGGTGCACGGGTGGGGACCGGGGCAGAGAGCGATAACGGTGCACGGGGACGGTGCACGGGACTAGGGAAGCGGCAGGGCAAGAGAGCGATAGCGGTACACGGGAACGGTGCACGGGTGCACGGGAAGGTAGGGAGGGGACCGGGGCAGAGAGCGATAACGGTGCACGGGTGCAGGGAAGGGGCCCATGCAGAAAAAAAGGTTCCCTTGCGCTATTACTACGACGTCTACAACTCATGTGCATGTTCCGATGTTTTTTGGGTTCCCGGCTTGACCTTGTGTTTTAATCACTCCCCCTGCTTTTTGGACCCCTCCCCATATTTTGACCCCCTAGCCTGTCAAGAATTCATGTTCTTGTGGGTGGAGTGGGGGCATGGGGGCTGGGATCAATACAACAGGCTAAGGGGGGTTTAAAAAAACAGAGGGCGTCAAACGAAAACAAGGTGAGGGCTTAACAAATTAGGGCCCGTTTGTAAAAAAATACCCAAAACCTGTACTGTCATGTGTCATGCCTCATTCATCAATCTGCCAGGACAGTGATTGGCGCTAGTAATTTTGTAATTTTACTAAAGACGCAAAAACAAATTCAAAGGGATCCAGGGTGGCTTCTGCCCTCAAGGAATTTACATGCCAGCCCTGCCCCCCCCTCTCTGCGCTGCCAAAACGTGCCAGGCACACCTTTCCATTCACAGTGGCAAACCAGTCTTTTCATTTTCGGGTTTGGAGGTGCCGCGACCTGTTGTTGGGGGTTTTGGTGTTGTTCTTGTTGGGGTGGTTTTGGCAAGAGTTCTTCGGGCTGGCGGTGTGCAGTCGTAGAACGTCGTCGCTGCCCCCCCCCTCCCCCCACCCCCCCCAAAGAAAAAGGAAAGCAGCAGGTTAAACACCAGGGACCTGGCGCGCGCCACCAACTACTTTGCTACTGTAACTACCTCTGCCAGTTTTGCAGGTGTGTCTAGTTTGGCTACCTTTGCCTGCATCGGGTGGTTTGGCTACGTTGTCAGGTTTGGCTACCTTGGCTACTTTGGCTACTTTAACTGCTTTACCTGCGCTTTGGCTACTTTGGCTACTTGAAATAGTTTGTCTACTTTGGCAAACTAAATGATACAATTCAGCTACTCGCTCTTTCAACAAGCACCGACATTATCCACGAAGGTTCTTATCTTATGTAGATATATACATATATAAAGCATGTACACATCTGTATGTGTGTTCGTGCTTCTTGAGGCCCGGGCCTTTTCTGCAGTGTCGCCGGGACTCCAGGGCCGCGCCTGGACCTGCGAGGCGAGAGCGAGACCCTAAGCGGGCGCGCCGCGCCGATGGGAAAAAAATGGGATAAAGACTCATAGAAAGATAGAGACTAAGACTCTAAGACTTATAGAGACACAGACAGATGCACCGACCGAGGGCCCTGTGGGCGGCCTTGTAGGTGCTCTTGGCCTCCGAGGCGAAGAGGAGGCACCGCTCCGTGGCGCAGCGCGGCCTCGGGGCGCGGGCCGCGGCCGCTCACCGCGTCACGGTCGAGGTCGAACGGCTTTGCGTTGGACGCACTCCGCGCGCTGTGGCGGCGCGCTGGGGCTATAGATCGCGTCCGAGCCCGAGCTCAGCAGAGCAGAGCTCCGAGTTGACAAGTCCAGGCGTTCTCGCGGGCTCAAAGCTACTTAAGACCAAACTTCACCATCTCCTTACCAGTCGCTCGATGTCGGGTTCTGGTCGCGAGAGCTGCCGGTCACTGAGGAAGGCACTGACAGGAGTCTGGCAAAGGCACGCACACCTCGGCCAACTTCGTGAATCGCTTCGTGAATCGCTTCGCGAATCGCTGCGCTTCGCTCCAATTCACGCGGTGCCATTTGCGAGCCGAGAAACTGGAGCTGGTGGAACCTCCAGCAATGGGACCTGGGCAGTGTGCTCAACAAACAATCTCAACAGAGACAGCAGAGCTCTGGCGACTGGAGCAACTCTCATCTCTTTTTGTTAAATGCGGACCGAGACCGCTGCATCCGGAGGCGCTGCGGCTGCTTTGCCCTTCGCCTCCGACTCCAACAATCCACATGCAAACACATGCAAACATGCCCACAGTTTCAGTTGCAGACTTAGGGCTCTCAGGTGCACCGGCGTGCACCGGAGGTCGGTCTGTCATGTGCGGTTTTTCGCACCTTCGCCGTGGCCTTGCCTTTTGGGGGCATGGCGCATTGCGTGAGTCGTGAGTGTCGGGATAGGTTGAGAGCGCTTCTCCCAAAAACTTGCTGAAAAGGCCTTGATAGGCTGATCTGGGGTAGACGCTAGAAGATGCATTACGTGGCTGAGTCGCTGGAGTGGGCCTTCCGGCGGGTTGCATGTCGGGAGCCGAAACCTCTAAAGACCGGCACAGCTGCGAATTTCAACTCCAGCATTGGAGGGACTCTGCACGCCAGAGAGCGGCTGAGCGTCTTTTCCGGCGAGCGCAGCTCGCACACAGCAGTCAGATGTCGTCGGCGTTGATGGCCCCGATGTCTTCGTCCTGCTCAGGGAGGGCCCCCTCAGGGGGCCGCCGGGGCACGTGTCGGGCGACTCGCGTCGCGGCGTCGCGGCGTCGCGCCTCTGAGTCCGAGGAGTCGGAAGACCTGCCGGGGCGGCGACTCGCAGTCTCGCAGTCTCGCAGTGCAGAGGCAGGAGCGACCAGACTCAGACGCCTTTTCGGCCGGGGCCCCCGGCGCTTGGTTGCCGTGTCCGCCTCCGGGCCCTGCCTTGGCCAAGGTCTTGGCACCGATCGCCGTGCCTGTGTGCAGGCTACGTCGGTCGACTACCGTGACACGGCTCCGGCTTTCGGCCTTCAAGGCGACGTGGACCTCAGCACGTGGCAGACCCTTCAAACAGACAAGTCCAGCACGAAAGAACGCTTCAGGATATCCATTCCTTCACCTGCGGCCTTCAGGCAAGAAGCCCACCCGCTGGTGTGCATGCGTGCCTTTGGCGCTGCCTGCTGTTAACACCAAAAAGGAAGGTGACTTGTCCGACCTTTCCAGGATACTTGAGAAACCCCCCATCGTCAAAACAAATTCGTCCCTTAACAGTTGAGTTGTTTTGAACTGGGCGACGTGAGCTAAGAGCGAAAAATAGCCCATTCAAAGACCCAACAGCAGATGCTTTCGTGAACACTTTTCTCACCTATGAGCACAGCTTCGGACGTACATGGCATGAGACATGACTGCAATGCATCCGGGCAAAAGAAATCGTCCCACATGTAAAATAAATCATGATACAAATACGGGTTAAAATGGCACCTCTTCAAGGATCCAAAATCGTGATCACCCCGCCAAAG